ACGCTTAATTTTACGACGGTAAATATGGACCTCAACACTATTATGAGCCCGTAAAGTGAGGTAAAGTAAAGTTTACTAAAAGTGTATTATGGATGATAATTTGATTTATTATTAAAACTAATTAATTAAATTATCTAAGACTTAGAATATTGTTAAGGAAGTTAATTAATTACTAAGATTAATTAACTAACTTATGTATACTTAGTATATGAATAAAAGGGTTAATTAATTACCAAAATTAGTTAACTAAATTATTAGACTTATTATAAGGATAAGATAATTAATGAATTATCAATTTAGCACAAATTTGTAATGGCAATTAAGGAAAATAAGATTTTGAGGATTTAATAAATTGATCCTTATAGTAAATTATCCTTCATTAAAGGAAAGGAATACATACCTTAAGTAAAGGGTTAGATTTTCTTCATAAGTTGCTAAAATAGAATAGCAAATGACAGATAATTTCACACTCTCAATGGGTGTTCATTTTCAGAAGTAAGCAAGTAAGAGAATAGGCTGTTTGGCGAAGAGTGGATTCCAGCTCTGTAAATCAGGTAAGTAGGAATCTCGCCTACAGTATGAATAGATTTTTAAAGAAAAAGTTACACATGTTATATATGCATGTTTATGTTTTAAGTATTGTATGCGATGCTATGTCATGCTGCATACACATAAGCAGCACACATGAATTATATGTGCTTGAGTTAATTTAATGTTATGTATACTATGCTAGATCATACTGCATACACTTAAGCAGTGCACATGAAGTATATGTATTTGAGTACATTCTATGTTATAGTATGCTTTGCTATGTCATATTGCATACACCTTAATAAGTCAAGAGGAACTTATAAGAATAATTATCAGTTGAGTGCCGTACCAGCCTCCACAAGGGAGGTATGCTCCACAAGGGAGAAACAGAAAATAACAATAATGTCCTCCGACTCAAGGGAGGCATTCAAGTTATAATCACGGTGTCGTGGGGGACCTTGCAAACCCTCACGTTCCGATGATTGCGCGCAAGTGGTACGCGAGCACTCGGGCCCATCAGTAAGAAAGATAAGATAAGATAATAAGATTATGATAAGACATCATAATTAAGCATAATCAGCTCATGCATATTTATTCATGTGTACTTACAGTTATTTTGTGAGATATAGTTCCTACTTGCTGAGCGAAAGCTCAATCAGATATGTTCATGCTGTAGGTAAGAAACCTATCAGCAATTCTTGAAGGGCAATGGCAAGCGGCGGACGAATGGTGGAGATGGGAATGGATACCGCTCACGCAGTTATCTTCCGTAGTAAGTTTAAGAAAAATCATGTATATGTATATATGATTTAAAGGTTTCAAGCATGTATGTTTAAAAAGTATAGGTACATATGTATGTTAAGGAAACTGAGGTTGTAGCTAATAACCCTCGTTTTGAGTATTTAAGTTTTAGAACGTTGCAACAGAGCATGCAACAAATAAATAAATTTTAAACATGACGATTTAAATGATTGATTTTAAAAGGGCTTTAAGATGTACTTGAATTTAAGATTTCTCACGAAATCCGTTTTAAAGTCAAAATTAAATGGCCCGATTGAATTGGCTAGTTGTAGAAAGGCTTTTAAAGAGCATTTGAAATAAGAGTTCAAATGCTGCTCTGTTTGAAAGATATTTTTAGAACGTTTTATCTTAACTGAAATTAAGAAAAGCTTTAAGAAATTTAGTGATTCACTTATTTAAAATTATTGTTACAAATTATGAAAGTATTCTTTCTTATATTAAAAAAAAAATGTTCCGCAAATTTTAAGAAACCCCAGTAAGTACAAGTTAAAGTTTAAGTTACAGTGGCGGCCTCATAGGAGGGGCGTCACAAATGTATCTCTTTAATGTAAATGTATCTTTTTATAGATTAACGCATCTATTACAACAGATATATCCATTACTTATAAGTGTTCAAATATGTGTGAAAAATATCACCAATAGATGTAACGGTTCAAAACATTTCAGATCTCAAAATCACACAAAATTACTCTTTTCTGCAGAATATCCGGTTTTATCTGCTGCAGCGGGTTTGGCAGCGCACGGGTGATGCACTGCAGCGTCTGTGCCTGCACTGACAGCACGTCCAATCCGCTGCAGTGCCTTGCATGGCACTGCAGCGCTTATATTTTGCTCTTAAACGGCCGTTCTCCTAGTTTTGACGGACTTAACTTGTGTGATCTTGATGCGGATATGCACTTAGAGCAAATCCCTGATAATGTTGGTCAAAACAGGAATCACGGAGTCGTCCAGGGTTTTTATGGATTCGTTTGTTTTGAGAATCATACTAAGATGGATGAGACCAAATATTGAAGCCAATCTTCATGATATGTCAAATTTTTATGTGCCCTTTTCAGGTAGTTGCTCTTGTCTCCATATTTTTAGTTGATGGCATGTGTTTTAGACAACAACACCTAAAGAGGTATGTTGAGAGTGTTTCAACAACAGTTTCCTCCAAATTGGATCCCACAAAGCTCGTTTCCAACATTGACAACCACTTTGAATTTCGTGCGGAGCCGAATCGAATCACTCTTATTTGTTGGGAGTATTTCAAATTCAGACTTTGTTCATTTCACCGATTCGAGTTTTCAGTTTTAGGTTTCTACAGTAAAAAGCTCTCAGAAAATGTCACATCAACTTTTTCTGCTACAGTGAAAAGCTCTAAGAAAATGTCACATCTCAGCTCGAATTAAAAACTCGAATCCGCGAAATGAACGAGGCCTCAGTTTCCTATCGGAATGTGCCAGTTGTACATTAACTTATCCAGAGTTGAAGATACCGTTCAGTTCGCTAATTCGAGTTGAGATATGATGTTATGTGAGAATTTTTTACTGTAGTAAAAAAGTTAGATGTGACTGTTTCTGAGAGTTTTTTACTGTAACAAAACTCGAATTCTAAAATCGAATTAGCGAAATGAACAGGGCCGTAGGGTTATATTGTCCACTCTCCAGTTTCTTTCTTGGTTCAAAGACTGGCCGAACTCTTTCTAAGCTACATAAGATGTACTTAACATCACTAGGTACGTAACCTGGGTTATATAATGAGCAGATTTGTAAATTATTGATTTTTTTTTTATCTAAAAGGCTCTTATAAACAGTATATTGTTGGGAAACTAATGAGTTTTCGCATTTGTTTAGCATTACCGGAAACCAATTGGAACGTACATAATGGTTCTTCAAGATTGGGACATAACCGGGGATTTCAATTCTGAAAAATGTAAGTACATATATTTTGTTTTATATTTGTATATTTATCTTCTTTAATTTCATATACATTTACTGGCGTTTGTTCATTTCTTATTTACAGTTTGGTGGATTCACCGAGTAAAATGATCGAGCAAAAAAGTGCTTCATACGAGCATATGACCCTAGCTATGGTAGACTTGTTAGTTAAAAGTGTGTTTCTAATTTGTGCAAAGCCTTTCTAAGAAGTACTAATGTTACAAGTGGGTGGTTGGTGTTTGGTATGAGGATTTGTGCCATGGTTCGAATCATGGTTCGTGACTCGCTATATTATTTTTTCTCACAAAAAACACACGTAAATTGAGAATAGTTCTGAATCCGTGAATCAAATGTCCACACATACCTGGGTAGCTACAGTGTTTTCTCTCACCAAACTGAGAATAGTTTTGAATCATTGACTGCATACCTGGGTAGCTTCGCTTTAGTAGGGATATATTGGGTTTGAGAGGTGTTTGGTATGCGATTTACTTGTAATATTTTTTTTCATAGTGAAACCTGTAGTGACATAAAATAAACGTAGCTCTCACATAAAAAGTGAACCATTATACATTTGATTGCCTTTATTTTATTTTATTGCGCTCGCTAGTATAATTAGGGTCTTTAGTTTATAACATTAGCAGGGTCCAACGACAAATAAATAGTATCACTTCTATAGGTATTTTAACTGATTTAAGCTTGGTGATATGTTAGCAATTCTATTAAATAAAATGTATTCTTGATAGTTAAACTTTGGGAATTTCATCATTTAGATTGCTAGGTGGAAACTTGAGGAACCTGATACTGTTTAACAGAAAAACAACTCTTTTATTGAACAGCAAATCCTTAGAAAGTTGATTTTTTTTTTTTTCATTCTTAAGGACAGAAAAATTATAGCAACAAACGACATGCTCTTATTGTATTAAATGACATCATACTTCACATTTACATGTGGTTTTCATACAAACAGGAATTTTATAACTGAGATGACATGATTTCTTAACATAAACGTTATGTCATTTTCACTAAAATGACGATAACCTAAAAAGTAGGACGGCAATTTCTTGTCCACGAGCTTCTTTCACCAAAACATGCCATTTACTTGAGCAAAATCAACAGAAAACATGTAGTTTTCGCCTAAACGACAGCAATTTTATCAATAAACGACATTACCTTGCGGCTTGCGGCAAGAACACCAACACTTAAACATTGTCGTTCTTTTTTCAAAAATGACAAGAAAAAAAAAAAAAAACTTCAAAATTAGAACGGCTTGTCCTACGGCTCTATAATTTTTTTGTGTTTTTTTTATTTTAATGTGATTTTAACAGGTAGTACTCTAACGTAGAAAGCTCCTAATATTTATAACACTTCTTAATTTTGCAAAAAGAATGGTTCCAAACTGATGTAGAATGTGTTTGTAATCAATGGAGCTCTGTTTTTATAGAGAGAAGGCATATTGTTGTCATTTTAGACAAGATTTACAAGATTCGTTTGATTTGATATTCTCTTTATGTTTTTTTTGTTGAACTCAAAATGGTCATCATTTTGATTCTTTGTCATGTGGAGCAAAGTTTATGAAGCACTATTATTAGTATAAAGAAACAAAATTTCTTAAAAACAAACCATAACTTTATTATTCATATTGTCTGTGACGAAATATTTACAAAACTCTTCTTTATAGAAAAGTGATTCAGTCAAAACAAACCCTCACGAACTCCTCGAGAAAAATGCGAAAAAGAAAGTTCCTTGAACAACAGTTTGATTCAGTTGTAGCAGCAATGAAAAGTTCATAAAATTGTCCTCAGAGAAGTTTCCTGAAATTGTTTTTTCTAAAAGAAAATGTTGGAGACTTAAGGAAAGTGCCTTCAACTTCAGTGTGTTATATTGAAACAAGTACGTATTCACGTAAGCATCTTTTCAATTACGCCAAATCGATTCACCATCATAAGAAGACCAAAGAGAGATCTTATTCTTATGTGGAAAATTTCCATTCAAACAACCATCCCAGAATCCAACTCGTTGCTTCGGTATGCTCGTCGATCTGGTCTTCGCCCTCGCAGATTCGGTCGCGGCCATGTAAGTTGGGAAAACCGGAGAGCTTGGCATCAAACAATCATCACCAAAAGAATTCCATTTCTCAAGCGAAAACGAGCTCCTCAATAGAGGGAACTCTGTACTCATTCCTTCTAGTAACTCTCTGCGCCTTGCGTTTTTCATTTTTACTTGCATTGTCCCATGCATCTCACTATTAGTCTTCTTTGAACTAAAAACTGGCCTTGACATCTCCTTTCCTTCCAAGGGTTCTAGCCTTCGGCTTTGTGTGATAGATTCCTTATTGGTTAATGAATCTTGCAGAAAATAAGTGTTCATTCTCTCCTGAAATGGTTTATCTTGTTAGAAAAATTGAAGTTCTCATGAATAAAAACGCGGTAAACCATAGACTTGACATTTTGTTAGTTTTTGTTAGTTTCATAGTTTTGATTACCCTGTGAGAGAATGAGTATTTCTTCATGCGCTCTCTTTTCATTAGGGCGTCTCGCCTTTTTAACCAAATTGTTTCCATGTCTTCCTTTGAGAGTATACTGCAATCCCACCCTCCTTGACTGCTACTTTCAAGCTGTAAATGACAAAATGAAGTTTCAATATCAGAATACTTGGGAGTCTCACATTCTATAAGGATCTATGTCATTGTAATGTTAAAAAATTTGAAAAAAAAAAGGTTGGAAATTATTCTTTAAGGATCCAAAAATGAAAGCTTCAAGTGTTAAAGGCACAAGATATAGATGTTTATATGTACTTGTAATTCTTTTTTGTTTTTGTTTTGGTTGCTCAATAGGTATCTCCCTTACATTTAGTTCCTTCTCTTTAAACTCCTTTTTTGGTTGGGAAGACATCTTTTCACAATCATTGTAACATTCCTCTCTATCAGGAATTATCTTATCTTGGACCTCTGATTGTCTTTCTCTATAGGATTGTAGACGCTTCAAAGTCGCGACTGTTCGGTGCCTCACGGCTCGGCCACGAACTATTGCTTGAAGTCTCACCAGCCCTTTCAAGGCTCTCAACGCTTTCCTTGCCTGTTTTGCTTCAAAATTAGGAATTAGACTAGAGATTCATGCTTATGTCCTCTGTGTGTAACATAGAATAACTTCCAACTTTCAATGGAAATTCACACACTAAATATGAGGGAAAAAAGGTGCTAAGTATGAATCTCAAAGTGTCAAAAGAATTATATTGAAATATTTATAAGTCTACTTTAATTTGATCATTTAAAACAAAGATAAAAAAAAAAAAAAAAAAAAAAAAAAAAAAAAAAAAAACCCCAAAGACAACATACTTAAGAAGGAAAAGAGTGTTAAGAGAGAAACACATTAATTTGTATCGAAGTGCCTCCTAGTCCTACATGAGTACATGTATATGCTTCATCTTCAATTGCTCTTTTTTCCATCATTGATCAATATATGGCCTTTTGATCATATACAACTTATACGTTAAATTCTAGGACTAGCATAATGAGTCACTAAAATTTATACCCTATGTCAAAATACATTGGTATTTTTCTTTGTTTAGGATTTTTTCCCTCTTTTTTCTAGAATAAAAAAAAAAAAAAAAAGAGGTCGGTGCACTTACATAGTACTAATAACAAGCTACTTTACAGAATTTGTCGGCATTCTAAAGACAGTCGGGTCACCGAAGAGTGGTCTCAAATTTTTATTTGTGAGAGTTAAAAGATGCAAGTCGTATCAATCCACTTAAATAATGCGATGTTGAAATAACAAACATCCTTAGCCTCAACGAACAATAATTCTCTAATTTTGTGAGTAGGCACGTGTTTTTTAAGTTTAATGAAAAAGCTTATCACATGATAAAAAAGAGGATCCATTGCACCAAAAAAAAAAAAAAAAAAAAAAAGAGAGAGAGAGAGAGAGGATCAGAGACGACTGGGAAATATTGCTTGGGGGTTTCAAATTCTTCACATGGCTTCCTGACCCACCAATCTGCATGATTAGCAAAGCCAAGGCTTTGGCTCTGCCTAACAACTGTGGCATAACGAACCCCTTGGTAGTTGAAGCACCATTACTTATTTCTGTCGATTAATTACCAACTGAAATTGACTCTACACCAGAGCAGTAAAACTGTAAAAACAATCAAAATAAAAAGTAAAAATAGAGAATTTATTTTTGAAAGTGCATGAGTCTGGACCTTTATATTTTACTTTTGATAAATACCCTTTTATTAGTGTAAGTATTTGACTAAAAGGGTTATGAATCAAGAGTAAATGGTAAAAATTCTGACCATGCACTTTGAAGGCGTATTTGTTAAGATTACCCAAATAAGAAACAATTGAGTTTTCATACTATGTATTGTATGTGGCCCCACCCATATCCCCATACCAAATGTTGAGACAAATGTATGTTTTTCATTCAATTTTGGTGTCTTAAATAAGGTATAATTCAATCATATTATACCATTTCATTAAAAATTTTGAATTGCATTTAAATTGATTTTTATATGTTGTAATATTTTGAGTTGACATGACATAATGTGATCCGTTAGACAATATTTAAAATACGAGAAATTAGACAAATGATTTATATGATGTGAGCAAAAACTTTGTCACACCATTTAAGTGTAAACATGCTTTCAAACCAAAGTAAAACTAGATGTCACTATTATACGTCTCTCAACCGTATATTTGAGTTTATCTTTCATGGTATAACCATATCCATATTTTAAGTCACTGAAATCTAGTCATGTGATATACAACTTTTCCTTTTTTTTATTTTAAATAAAGGGCTCCTTCGAAAACGATAATATGGGAGAAGTTTTTGGTGAGATAAAGAAAATATCTTATTAATACTGTCCAATTCTAATCTATCACATTTTGATAAAATAATTTCACTGTGATGTGAAAATTCAAAAGCGAATTAGCTTGATGCATTTTTGACTCTATAGGAAAATTCTTCAAATATAATTCTAATTTTAATTTGGTGTTTCGATTCTATTTATCGTAATGTTAACTTGAACTAAGTACAAAATACCAATAGAGAACTTCAACAAGGTTTTCTAAAAAGATTTCCCAATTTTAGCACAAATATCACTTCTTCTCCACAACTTAATAAAAATCTAAAAAAACAAGAGCAAAGAAGCATTACATCACGTGCCCACGTGGACCTTCTCAATTGAGCAGCGTCATGGGATCATGCAAATATAGACTTAACGTAGTTAACAGAAAATCAGTTTTATTTGTAAGTTTTATGTCATCAGATTTATCTTTTATTAGTGCTTTTTTTTTTGAGAGATTTTATTAGTGTATAGTGTTGATCATCAATGTACCTTTTAATATTGCTCAAGCAAATTAAGGTTACGAGATTAATCAACTTGATTGCCAATCTCAATCCACACGAACTCATAAATCTAGAAAATTCTACACTATAAAGTAAGAAATCAGAATAAATATTAATTTATCTCTTCAAGAAGAATATATATATATACACACACACACACACACACTCACACAAAAAGAATATATATTAATTTATCCATTGTTTATTCATTTAACATATATATCTGCCTGGAATGCATAATCCAACTCTCAATACGCACCGCCAATGCAAAAACGGTGACCCCTTAAACGAATAATTTTATTTAATTAGAAACTATAATGATGAATTGTTGGATCGCATTAAAATTATATTATAATAATTAACAAAGTATGTAAAATAAATGATACATGAAAAAATTTAACGTTAAAAAAAAAAACCACAATATCGATTAAGTTGTTTTCTTCGTATCCTATCAAAACGTTCTCGATGGCTTTTGATCACATCCCATTTTGATATGAACATCTTATACTTTTATTTTTTCAGAAAAAAAAAATCTTATACTTTTGTTTACAATTTGGTCACCGCAAATGGAACCTCCTTTTTTTTAGTAGTTCCTTCCATTTTTGTCTCAATCATAACGTCAACTAGTCCAACTTGCTCTGAGCCCAGGAAAAAAAAGTATCCAACTTGTTGATTAAAAAAAACAAAAAAAGGTAACACATTCCCTAAGTTTACTTTGTTTAAAATAATAATAAAAAAATATGTAGACTAAAATATGATACCATTACCTTAGCTTATAATAGACACAACACACTTTACTTTTTAGATGCAAAACACCAAAGTTACTTAAATATGCAACCTTGTAACTACTTTTGCGTTAAAGAACATAACATTCTTGTACTCCACTAGATTTATAAAAACAAAAGATGTGGTGGAACATTATATTTATCTTTATTCTTTCGTTGGTCAAATCAAATTAGTAAAAGGAAACCACATGGATATTGATTTCATTTAAGGAAGTGAAAATTCGAAGTTAATCTGTTATGAATTTAACACCTAATATCAACAGATTTCACAAGAACAAGAACAGTACAACACAAAACAAAACACAACCGGAATTGATATCGGAGTTCGGCACAACTGTTGCCTACGTCTCCGCGAACTCACCAGAGGAATTCGATTTGCATTCAACAATGATACTTCAAGTCAAATTACATAGAGATGATGGACCAGAAATTAATCACCACCGAACCTCACTTTCCCGAGAAAAACCAACAAGAAACACCCTGAGAAAATCAAAGCCTTTTCTCTCTTCCCTTTCTCACTCTAGAATTCCTTTTCTCTCACTAAGGCTCTTCGTTTACAAGATTATCTCTCTCTCTCTCTAGTTTTTGTCGCAGCTCTCTTTAACCTTAGAAAAATACAATATATACAACTGTACAACTTGTAAAGAAGTCGTTTGGGATTAGCCAATCAGAAATTGTTTCTTTTACAACTTTCTGATTTAGTGCTTCATTAAAACGCTACCGTTTTGCTTCATTCCAAACTCACTGTCGTTTTTCCTCCAGCTGCCTTCCAGAGTAAGAGAACTCAATATCTTGACTTGAAGAATCGTAGAAGAAAAATAGAAGAGATAAGGTTTGACTCAACAATCTCCACCTCAAATCTTATCTCAATTAGTCATGCAAATCTACTAACCTCTGGACCCCAATTCGATTACCACATTTGTCACCTTTTGTCAATACCCAGCAAATCAAGACAATGCTTGAATTTGCTAAGTGTCACCACCTTAGTTCCCATGTCTGCAGGATTTTCCTCCGTTGGAATCTTCTCAATGTTTATTACTCCCTGAGAGATCTTCTCACGAATGAAATGATATTTTATCTGAATATGCTTTGTCATGTCATGGAATACAGGATTTTTACATAAATGGATAGCACTTTGGCTGTCTAAATAAACAGTAGCCTTTTCATTTAAAATCTTCATCTCCTCTAAGAAACCTTGAATCCAGATCCCTTCCTTGATAGCTTCTGTTGCAGCCATGTACTCAGCTTCAGTAGTTAAGAGTGCTACTACTGGTTGAAGCTGAGACTTCCAACTGACACAATTTCCACTCACCATAAAGAAGTATAATGTAATGGATCTTCTGCTGTCTCGATCTCATGCATAATCTGAGTCTGTAAAACCTTCCACTGAGACCTGACTTCCATGGTTCTTAAACCGTAAGCCATAGCTTAACGTTCCAGCTATATACTTGAGTAGCCACTTCATGGCTCTCCAGTGTTCCTTCCCTGGGTTTGACATGAACCTACTCAAGGTACTGATGGCATAGGCCAAATCTGGTCTAGTACAAACCATGGAGTGCATCACAGACCCCACTGCATTTCTATAGGGAACATTCTCCATATAGGACTTTTCAGCTTCTTCTTTTGGGCACTGCTGAGATGATAACTGAAATTGGCCAGCTATAGGCTGTTGTGGTGTTTTTGACTCTGTCATTCTGAATTTCTCCACCAACTTTTGCACGTATCCTCTCTGATGAAGAAACAATTCTCCTTTGCTCATTTTCCTCTCAATTCTCATCCCCAGAATTTTGCCTGCTGGCCCAAGCTCCTTCATTTCAAATTCTGATCTCAACATCTGCTTCATCTTGTTTATTTTACTCCTCTGTTTGCTGACTAGAAGCATGTCATCCACGTATAGGAGTAGATATTTTGCCTCTAGAACTGTTGATCCTCTGTAGTATAGACAAGTATCAAACCAGCTTCTTTGAAACGCTTGTTTGGTCATAAAGGTGTCAAACCTTTTATACCATTGCCTTGGTGACTGCTTGAGTCCATACAAAGACCTCTTGAGAAGACACACCATATTCTTGCCCTTCTGGACTTCAAATCCCTGTGGCTGTTCCATGTAAATCTGCTCTTCCAAATCACCATGCAAGAATGCAGTTTTTACATCCATTTGCTCTAGCTCTAAATCAAATTGAGCTACTAGAGAGAGCATGATCCTGATGGTTTTGTACTTCACTACGGGTGAGAAGATCTCAGTAAAATCCACACCTTCCTTCTGTGTGAACCCCTTGGCAACCAGTCTAGCTTTATACTTTACTGGTTCATTTTCTGTGGCTCCCTTATTGATCTTATAGATATATTTGCATGAAACCACTGATTGTCCTTTGGGTCTGCTCACCATAATCCAAGTACCGTTCTTGTGCAGAGACTCTATTTCCTCCGTCATTGCCAATAACCATTCCTTGGCATCTTTACACTTAACTGCTTCTTCATAAGTTTCTGGTTCTTGCTTACTAAGATCGATTGATGTCATAAAAGTGTAGGCCAGCAAATCTGTGTAAGCATTGAAACCATATCTCTGAGTTGGCTTTGGTACTCTTCTGACTCTATCCCTTACCAACTGGTAACCATCTTCTTGTACATCTTCCTGAGTCCAGTCTTGTGTGCCTTGAATATAGTCAGTTGATTCACTGACTTCACCATCTGCATCTACTTGACTATTTTCTTCAGTAGCTTCTTGTTGTGTTGACCCTTGGTGATTAACAGTTTCTGGCTCCACCTGAGTGGTATTTCTTTCTACTTGCTCCACCTGAACTTGGCTCTTAACTATTCCTGCAGGGTTAGTAATAGAAAACCTTTCTCTTGCAACATGGTTAGTTTTAGACAAACAAGGAAATTCAACTTCATTAAAAATAACATCACGGCTATTTATTGTTTTATATCCCTTGCCATCTCTAACCCAAAGTCTATATCCTTTAGTACCTTCAGGATAACCTAAGAATACACACTTTATAGACCTAGGATCTAACTTCCCTTCTTTTTGATGTGCATAAGCTGCACAACCAAATGTTCTAAGGTGTGTTAAATGTGGTGGTGTGTTTTACCACATCTCCTCAGGGGTCTTAAACTCAATTGCACTAGATGGACACCTATTTACTAAATATGCTGCAGTCATGACAGCTTCTCCCCAGAAGCTTTTTGGTAATCCTGCTTGAAACATCATGCATCTAGATTTGTCTAGTAAGGTCCTATTCATTCTTTCAGCAACTCCATTTTGTTGTGGAGTTTTCCTAACCGTTCTATGTCTTTGAATGCCTTCCTCAGCACAATAATCATCAAACAACTTATTACAAAATTCAAGACCATTATCAGTTCTCAAAGTTTTAATTCTTTTATCTGTGAGGGTTTCCTGCAATATTTTCCATTGTTTGAATTTAGCTAAGGCATCATTCTTATTTTTAAGTAAATACAGCCAGACATTCCTAGAGTAATCATCAACAATAGAAAGGAAATAGTAATTATCTCCATGAGTTGGAATTGTTTCAGGCCCCCCATAGGTCGGAGTGGATATATTCCATGATAGATTTTGATTCATGGGTCCCAGCTTTGAACTTCAGCCTATGCTGCTTTCCCAATATGCATGACTCACAGAAATCTACCTTACTGACCCTGTCCTTTCCTAGAAGTTTCTGCTCACTCATTATTTTGAGACCCCTATCACTTATGTGTCCCAATCTGTTGTGCCACAGAACTGCTTTCTTGTCCTCTGGTGCTATTGCAACTGTAAGTTTCCCAGTGAGTGTTTCTCCTACCATATGATACAAACCACCACTTTTGACCCCTTTAATAACCACCATGGAACCTTTGCAAATTTTCATTACCCCTCTCTCAATTTTGTTGGTATAGCCTGAGTCATCCAAGACTCCTAAAGAGATTAAGTTTCTGGCAAGACTAGGAACATATCTTACCTCCTTCAATTGCCTCACTATACCATCGAACATCTTGATGGCTATAGTGCCAATTCCTTCTACTTGGCAGGTGTTACTGTTTCCCATCATAACTCTTCCTTCATCTACTTTCTTGAAGACTGTAAGCCAAGCCTTGTTGTGCGTCATGTGATAGGTACATCCCGAGTCAAGAATCCACTCTTGACTATCACCCTGTGTTGACACAAGTAGAACCTTGTTACTTTCATATCCATCACCGAGGTTGGCTGCCTCTTGACTGTCACTTCCATTGGTTGAGTTTCCTTTTTCCTTTAATTTCCTTTTATAAGCATAATAGTCCTTCTTGAAATGTTCGGGCTTGTTGCAGTGGAAGCAAGTTTTGTTAGAATTGGGACCTTTGGACTTGGATCTTCCTCTGCCTTTACTGTTGCTCCTCCCTTTGTTATTGTTGCTCTTTTGTTGGCTTCGTCCTCGTACAAAATGGTTCTCAGCATTTGAAGAATCTTGTTTTTCAATCTTGATCTCAAGATCTCGGGATTTTAATGCTAAAATAACCTCTTCGAGAGTGATGGAAGTTCTGCCATATTTTATGGCTGACTTAACCTCCTTAAAAGACTCTAGCAGAGCATTCAACAAGATAATTGCCTTGTTCTCATCACTTAAGGCCTCATTTTTCCCAGAATTTGCCAGTTTTATATTCATCCTAAGGAAATCATTGAGGTTTTGATCTAAGGTACTAGCAGTGTTCATCTTGAAGCCAAACAATCTTTCTTTAAGAAAAATTTTATTTGTTAAAGACTTCTTTTGAAATAGCTCATCTAACTTCTTCCAAATTTTCGAAGGGGTTTCTTCTTTATCTACCATTCTTATAACAGCATCTGATAAATGAAGAATAATAGTACCTGTAGCTGTTTCGAGAAGTTCTTGCTTCTGATCTTCAGTGAAGTCTTCAGGCCATTTCGAAGAATCCCCTAAGGCTTTGAGAAGTTTCTGCTGAGCAATCAAACCCTTAATCTTCCTCTGCCAAATCTGGAAATCACCCGATCCGTCACACTTATCAATTTCGACATTCATGTTGCTCAGAACACCAAACTGAGACGGATCCTTTTCTACTTGCGAATCTTGGTTCGGGAGTGAACTTGAAACCCTTGTCGATGAATCTGTACCAAGTGGAATTTCTTCAAAATCACCCAGATCTAACGACCTCAATCCTGATCCTTGATCGCCTTCGATCTCCAGTGTTCTTGGTTGAAATTAGAGAACCAAAGAGGGCTCTGATACCACTGTTATGAATTTAACACCTAATATCAACAGATTTCACAAGAACAAGAACAGTACAACACAAAACAAAACACAACCGGAATTGATCTCGGAGTTCGGCACAACTGTTGCCTACGTCTCCGCGAACTCCCCAGAGGAATTCGATTTGCACTCAACAATCACTACACCACAAAAGGCCTTTCGTAGCTGACGAAAAATGCTATTAATCACTATCAATAGCGCTTTTTAGAGCGCTAGGATAGCGGGCGCTATTATAGGTCCTAAGAAAACATAGCGTTACAGGAGAGTTATAAAAAGCGCTATAGAATTAAAGTATTATAGCGTGTAAGAAAAATTATTTTCATCCTCTTACAGCTCTTTAGCATAGCTACGATACAGATTAATAACTTTTTTTCCTTGTTATGTTCATACTGTTGTAACTTTTTAAAATTATTATTGATATCCTTTTGAATTCATTCAAATAAATGGCAATTCCGAGATATGTGATATATCTAAATAAGAACATTCAAATTAAAACATAAAAACATTCAACATATCAATTGTTATCAGTATCTACCAAGTTGTCAATAAAATTACGTCTACAACATAATTCATACAGTGTCCAAAACCTTAACATTCAAAACAAGTAAAGAAAACAGAGAAGTCATCTCCAAAACGTCTGAGTGCAATGGTGAAGTAAATCCTTCCATCTTGACATAATGCTTCAACAGAAAAGTCATCTCCATTATTTAACCTGTAAGAAAATGATCCACTATATATCAAAACAATAATCAAACTCAACTAAAACTTCCACCATTTAACCTATAAATAAAGCAAGGATTGTGACCAGAAACTGCAAAAAGGAAAAAAAAACAAAAAACATGTAAAATGTACACTGTGAGCATACCTTGCGGGACTGCTTCTCGAGCTTCTTGCCCAGTTTTCTGAAATTGCAAACATGACACCATTGCAATAGGAAGTAAGACAATGATACAGAAAAACTGAAATAGCCGTAGAGTTATAAGAATCTTATAATTTCCAGAAACACAACATACATACAAATAGTACTTGCCAAACATAACTCAAATAGTTCAGGCAGACATATGGCCCACAAGATTTATGC